ACGATGATAGCACTTCAATCTTCTTTATCTATGAATTAACAGCTGTGATATAACATCCAGTAAACTATAAAATCTATATACCGGGTGTTCCACGAAGAGGTTCCTATTTTTAAATTGATATAGCGGACTTGTAGAGCGCGCTACATACTTGAAATTCTACAGTCGTGACTAACATATATATGTAAAGGTGTTTCCCCCAAGTCTCAATTAATTCTGACTAATCTAAACAAAATGGCGGAAAAACTAAAAGCAACAAAAACAACAATCGTATTTTAAAGCTAAACCTACTTTTTATCCCGTCATTTTGACCTAATGTGTCAGAATTAACTGATACTCAGGGGTATTTCTTTCACAATGAGTAGGACTGTTGAGTTTCAGGTGTGTAGAGTGTTCGGTGCGTCTAATACATTAATTAAAAAATCGGGACCTTTTCGTGGGACACCCGGTATAAAAATGATAACAATCACGAGCTTTTGAGAAAAATGCAAGCCAGACACCTATCAACCGCATACTTAAATGACAATTTCGATGTCAAACTTCCCCGAGAGTATCAGTTTCTCAATGAATCCTCTCATAAGGGCCCGAACTACAATAAAATGGTTTTATTTAATGGCATTAAAATATTGAATATTAATTAGCTGTAACATTATTTTTAGTTTGTTTTTGTTTACTTTATCTAAGTATATCTTTTGATTCTCATTATACAGTAGATGTTTGCATTAGAATATTTTTTTAGTTTGGATTCTGCCACACAGTTTAATGCAAATAAGTCAGAGATTTTTTCTTCTTTTTTAAGCTTATTAAGTTTGTAAATATTTCCGTTCTTTTTAAATAGTTAAACTACCACCCAATTGAAGTAGTGTGAATGATTTACATAAACATTTGTATCTAAAGCTAGATTGATCTTCCATTTTCTTAGGAAATCGGAAGCCATCGCTATATGATCAGCCTTCTTCAATAATTCGTTTACAGTAATTTATATTGTAATTTTAATAAAAATATTGTCTATGTCGAATCAATATGTGTCTGAGGACGATTCATGACATATAACACAATTTAATTTAGTTACAAGAAATTGTACTACTTAAAATGGCTTCCTGGCCCGTAAATCGCACAAACCTGACAGCAGATGCGTTGTATTTAAGCAATTTATACAAAGTAAAATCAAATTAAACTCTCAGTCAAATAGCAAAAGTAGTTGATACGTAATAATATAGTTGAGCATGTATAATTGATAATGTATAATGTATAATGTATAGTTGACTGGGACGGGTGGCGTCGTCCTGTAATCCAGCTACTGGGAGGTCACGAATTGTGGATATTTATAGGGATGCACTGTGGATGCGATGCTCCCTGGTGTGGATTAACGTCCGCACTAGTGAGTACTACGACTATCCGCAGTATTATCCTGATAATTAGACCAATTCGTAAATTACAAGGAAAATGTGGT